TTTTCAAGTATACTCAGCCTATTCCAGTAAAATAATTACTGCAATATATGAATACTGCCTTATTGGCATTAGGCAACATTCAACTTTTTAACATTAGCCACAACTGCAAGATCTAAATAGAAATAAATGCACTGGAGAGGAAACCCTTTATGAATCAAAAAGATTTGACTAAGAAGTGCAGATTAGAATCTTCCATACCTGATTGAGTGAAAATGTAGTAGATACCACACCAATAAGGACATTCAAGACATCCTTAACCAGCTCAGATTCTTTCATCAGCACAAGCTGAGGAAGCTGAAGTACAGTATTAGTAAACAGCTGCAATTCCCCTTCTCGAAGTTTGTAAAATTTGTCAAAAGCTTCTCTCCCAGCTTCAGTAAGATATGGTTCCTCTTTTTTACCAGGTGGGCTGTGTCAGAGTAAACACAACATTACAAGGTGATTATGGGAAAAGAAGGAAATACATCAAAGGAAAAAAAAAAAAGCATTTCAGAATTTTACACAGACAGAATTCCTCACAGAAAAGGTATTTGTAATATAGTACATTTTTAAAGGAATGTGCACTCAGGCAATGAATCTGTAGCTCAAACTCAGTACAGAGAAAGAATATGCAGATAATTTGAACATCAATTCAGAGACAGAATTCTTGACYGTGAACTACCAGCTGCTTTTGTGGCCTTCCTGATGCAGTTTTCACACTGGGGAAAATGAGAACAGTATATACCATATTTCATACCACGGTTCATTGAATGCTAATATTCAAATAAGTTAAAGAGAAATATGCTCAAAGTGCTAGAATTAACTTCTAGTAACACACTGTACCTCTTCACAGTGAAGATTACTATCCCCTCCAAAACAACTCGTGTTTCCAATTCTCCCAAAAATTCTTAATTCTACTAGCAGATATTACAYAAAATCCATCAGGTATATAGTCTATATATGACTCTGAGACCCTTACAGTCTAAACAGTAGGAAGAAAAACTGTCTTGTACTAGGAAAAATACTCAAGTGGGCTACAGAGGTTTTGAAAAATCACAAGAGGGAACTTCTGAGTTTAGAGCTTCTGAAGCTCAGAGCTGAAAACTGAATACTGTTTAACTGCAACAGCACCCTGGATAATTATTTAAAATTAAAGAAAACCTACAGAGCAAGAATCAGGCACATTCCTGTCCACCTGAAATGTAAGGAAGATACCTGCCATACGTGCCTTTTATCTTCCATTTTAGGGAAGCCAGGAAGCCTTAACAGGACTGTAGAGTGCTTTCTMTCAGGAGATGCATCTTCTACTCAACAGCCAAAAGAACTAGAAATCTAACTAGACCATTAAGAAATCTGTTATAATTTTCTGGTTTGTCTACAGGCTGTGAAAAGGAATACAATACTCTACAATACTGGGARACATTTGTTTAATTCTTCTACTGCTCTACAATTACCATTTTCTCTTTTGAAACTGAAAATATGGAACCATTTTAAACTGAGACTAATTACATAACACAGTCAAAATACATTTTTGACATGCTGCATTTCACACAAACAGCATTTTCCTAATCCCTTTGTTTTTTGACAAAGATGATTTTATCTCTTCCTATGGAACTGGTGCACTTTAAGAACCAGTTTGCTGAAACCACACAACCTTTACTTCTTTATCCCTATTAATGCAGTGTTCTGAATGCTGTGAATTAAACATGCCCATTTCACTATTTATACTGAGCTCCTTTGGAACTAAGATTCAATGCACCTTCACACATTTGCACACAGTGCACAGTAAGTTTAAGAGTAAGATCAGACACGTACTACCCAATTCTTTCCCAACATCTTCGYTTGCTGGGTCCATATGTAAGCACTGCATCCCACAAATCAATGTCTGGAGTCATGCTCGGCTCTGACTGAGAATCAGGAGTCAGATTGGATGCTGACTGGAATCCCTCGTCTTCTGACTGGTCAATACTTTGGGGAACCTGTCAGAAAGAGTTTAAATGTCAGATATGAAAACATTTTACTGAACATACATACGCTAATARAGAAGATGTGTTGCTATCATTCATGACCAAGTCACTCTATATGACCCAAATGCTATCACCTTCATTCCCTTTACAACAATTTTAACTATTTACAGTAAGCACTCTTTTCATTTGATATCAATGCCTATACACAAAAAACCAATCACCTTCAAAATAATATACAAAGTTTGTTGCTGTTAAACTTGAAACTTCCTTATTTGGTAAGCATATAGTTCTGCCAACTCAGGAATGGCAGAATACCTCAGAATCTCAGGTATGGATATTCAATAACATGTACCATTAATAAAAGCATACTGCTCTGCAGTTTGTTCCAGACAAATGATATAGGCCCCAAATCTTCAAATTTATAAACATTTTGTTAACTATGACTAATATAGCTTGTTCCCTTATTCATATGCTAAAAGTCTGTAAGTGTCCAAACAGTGTATAAACCACATCCTCAACTCCCACTCAACAGGAGCCATATGTGCAGAACTGTCCTCAGTTTTASTAAAAGAAAATCATACCCCTATAAAAAGCAGCATATTCCTCAAGAAATTTTAAATTTTCTGGTCAGCTGGAAAGAGTACAGCACTAACTCAAAAAGGCTCTACCTCCCCTAAGGCTGCAATTTACATCCACATGCGCACACTAAATGGCATAGGGTTCTTCTATTTTTATTTAATGTGTCTGCCTTCAAGTTCCAATTCAGACCCTGAATTAAGAAAATCRCAAGATCTATCCATATGTCAAGTAGAAAGAACAAGATGAGGATCTAAAGGTAGGCTATAAATAAGCCTACCTACACACAGTAAAATGGAAAGAAAGAAAAAAAACTGAAAGTGTTTCTAGTACTTCTATGAGAATAAACCAGCAAAAATAAACAGAATGGACAGCAAAAGCTGAAAAAAAATTCAGCAGAAACTGTACATACTGAAAAGGTAAAAGGACAATAGGAAACAGGGCATTCAATGGGGAAAAAAAAACAAAAAAACCATAACCCAGAAAAAATGCTTTAAGATACAACAAACCAAGAAAATAATACAGCAAGTTAGATAACATGATTTGAGCAGCAAAGCACATACATTCAGACACAGATGCCTAGACAGTCAGCCTGAGCACTAACAAGTAAGCAACAAAGCAGACGAGTTCAACAGAGCAGGGAAAAATACAAGTAAAAGGCTGCTAGAGTGGGGAAGGCATAGATACAACTGATGTCTTGAATTCATAAATCCTATGGCCAGATGATRGATTTTGACACAGCTACAGGGCAAGACCACCGTTTTTGTTATTGTACATCTATCACCATGTTGAAAAAGCTTATCTGATTCTCTGTGAAGGATCCCTGCTCCATCTTAAATTCCAGTACTATATATTTCTATCACCAATTAAACCATTATCTACATYTTAAACTACAGTTTCAAAGCGGCACATGAAAGCATGCATACACTTGTTAKACCAAAACAAATGATACCGTACTTTAATTGCAAGTCCAGACAAATCTGCATTGTCAGGCACTGGTGGCAAATCCARCTTGATGTCCATATCATACGCACGGCTGTGGACAAGAGCACCGAAGAGCGAGACGCGCGTCTCTTTCTCAAACTTGTCCCCAGCAGGACAGCTCTGYGAGAACAGCCCGATGGCAGGGAGTCCAGTGCCAGGTGCAGCCTCCATTATCTGAAGCGTCTTGTGAATTGTGTCGTTGAACTGACATTCTTCGTTTGTTATCAGAGATTGTATGTCAGCTTCAAACACACTTACATCATAATAATCATAACCCTGGTACTTGACATTTCTCCCAACATATTTGTTGTTCAAAAAATAGTCCTTTTTTTGTGATACTAGCTGAGGAGGACCTGTTCCAGCAAGCAGTACTAAGAGATCTAAGACAGAATTAATTTCAGTAAATGGTAAGCATTGAGCTGTTTCCAGTTCCTCCACAAGATTCTCCAGTCTCTCCGCTTGAACACCTAGGCCAGCAACTCTCAAGTTGAAAGACAACATCAAAATTTTGTTTTTCACTGGAAGTCTGGAGACGTTTGACTGCAGCTTACGAGCCTCATCTTGAAAAAGGTTCATGAACAGGGCATTATAAGCAGCCCGTTTAAGATTTTGCTTAGCCCTTCTCTTGCTGATCTTCTGCCTGCCTAGRTGAACCTTCCATGGCAAACCTGTCAAGTGTGCTTCACACAAATCATTGAACAACTGTGTAATACTCTCCATTTCATATGAAACTGTCAGGTTTCAGCAGTTACAGTCTGGGTTTCTGATTTCATATGAAGCAAGACCTGAAAAATACCACGAAAAGGAGGAAACTCGTGAGGTGTATAAGAAATCGGTGAGCATCCTTTAACTTAAACTGAGATAGCCCAAAAGGAAAGAGGACTGACCTCCCACATATTTAGGACATGAGCTATAAAAATCACACTTTTAACTTCGATCACCAGTAAAGTGACGGTGCAGGAAGCTTAATTCCAGATGCACAATTTTTCTCAGCAGACTGAAACAGACAAGGTGTTGTGATGTAATCCCGGGTTCCTGGAGGAACACCTCTCCCTTTTCCCTGGAGATTCCTACACCTCCTTCGCATGCGGTGATGCCCTCAGCCGCAGCAGCGGGGCCGGGCGGGCGAGAGGACGTGGGCAAGGCGCGGGTGGTGATGGTGACCGCACGGCCGGGCTGGAAGGCACCCGCCACCCCCGGGGGATTCCGGAGCCCCACCGAGGAGACGCGGGGTGTCGGCACCCCCGGTGGAGCTGCCGGCGGCGGGGCTCACCCTGCAAATGCAGCCGGGCCCGAGCACGGTGCGCCAAGCCCCCCGCGCCCCCCGCTGCCACCGGAGCCCCGCGGGGCTGCCCCCGGCCCGGCCCGCCCATCCCGCCCCTCTGCCGCCGCCCGGGCCGTACCTGCGCGCTCCCCGGGCAGCGGCAGCGGGAAAGCGCCGCCGCCTCCTCCCGGCGCCGCAACGTCACCCGAGCGCGACCGGCCCGCCCCGCTGGAACCGCCCTGGCGGCGAAGCGCAGCGGCCGAGGGCGGCGGAGCTCAGGGGCCGCCCCCCCGGGACCGGCGCTGCCGCACAGCGGCCTCAGCACCGACACCGAAAACGCCGATTTGGACCCAGCACGAAACGTAAGCCGTTCCCGCGCCCATCGCCTTCAACGTTGTCGCCACTCGGCTGACAAATAACAACACGCTAGTGCCAGAAAGCAATGGACCACGCTGGCCCCGAGCCSCAGGAGGCAGCTGCAGCCTTCATTTACAAAGAGTACACTTTTTTCTCCTCTTAATTCATGTTTTAATAAAGGCTTAGAAAAATACGTATTAAAATGCAACATTTATATCAAATATAATTTCCATTGAACAAAGGCTGGGAAAGGGGAAAGAGATGAGCTATTTCTCAGGAAATGCTTTTGCATTGAAAATACTGAGTTAAAAAAAGAGGAGGTGGAGGAGGCATTTAGGAGAGGGAATAAGAGGGAAGATTGACTAAATCTTCTGTTAGGAAACAAACAAATTTCCTGTTAGAAAAAGTGATGAAGCTAAATATTGGCCAGTGGCCAGTTCCCCATTTAAACACTTTTTTTGAACTTCGAAGTTAAGTTTAAAGAAATTAAACTGAAACAGAACATCTTCATATTCTTCAGCTCCTCTTAGTAAAAACCTCTCACGTGGTTTTTATTTTCTTTGAAAATTTTTTTTTATTTCAAAATGTTCAAGGATGGGTATCATTTCCCCTCCAGCAATATCAGAAAACCAAAACAAATGAGAAGGAAAGCAGTGCAAACAATTAAAAAAGACAACTSCAAAGACAGACTTAATTACTCCACATTATATAAAGTTGATCCCAGTAGCAACACCAGTATAAACATAATTTGAAATGTCTGAAATCAGAAGGTCAAAGTATTGAAGTCCCAGTAAGAGAAAAGTGCTCTTGAAAATGATCCCTAAATCATACCTGGAATACTACAAAAGAAGGCATCCTGTGGTTACTACCTTGGGACGTTTGTTTCATTTGAGAACTTACATGATGTAGCCTTAGGCCACTATACTAAATCTCTGGAGGTTTAGTGTTTGTTATATAGACAACTGACATCTGAAAAAGGGGCAGAGTGAAGTTCTCATATTTTCCTTTTCTTCTGCTTTGTAAAATGATTCTGAAGTGAAATCAATTTCTTGAAAGCTCCTCCTTCACTGAAAAGAACAGCAATAAGAAAAACAGTTACTAATCAAGCTCCATCCCACAATTCCTGACCCCACAAGAACATTTTTATTGGAACCACACCGCTGGTATTGGCCATTTCTTCTGAAAGAGAGCACAGCATTTCCTTTTCAGAGAGATGCCCACCTTTAAAATTGCTTTTTCTATTGAAAAACAGAAGTCATTCAGCAGAGAAACATTCCTAGACAGGTAGGCTTGAAAGCATACATACCTGCCTAGCCTGATGCCTATACAATTGCAGTGCCTGATCTTCAGCTCTTTGTGACTGTACTTGCAGCATGACGAATCACTACTGAGTTACATGAAGTTATTTTTGGACAAGTTAAACATATAAAAATACCACCTGATTTGGCACTATATTGAGGAAACACATTAGCAATCAGAGCCAGGGCACATCTTGTTACCCATTCTTTAAGCTCATATTTTGGTAATTTCATTCCAAAATTCCAGAGTAACAGCATTCAAAGTCCCAAGGGTACAGTTGTTAACGCTATGAAATTTGTGCTTTCTGGCTTAAGTGGCAGAATTAGAAGCATTCAGAGTTTCACCATTTTCACATTAGATCAGTCTGCTCCTACTGACTTTAAAAGTCCCACTGACTTACAGGACCCAGCTGTATTTATATATAATCTTTTCAGAAACTTACAGTATATGAGTTTAAGATAAAATCACCAACTTACCTGAACACTGAAGCATTTTCCATTCCTGCTGAAACTGGTCTCTTAATGTTTTTATTTTATTTACTTTTTCTTGTGTAGGAGGTACATAAATTCCAAATGCAGGTATAGAAGCACCCACTAATGCTTTGGCTACATTTTCCATTAAATTTATTTCTGTGTCCTAATTAGGAACAAAAAATACCTCTGTGAACCAAACTCTCTTTTTTTTAGTGATACATGAAATATTTTAAAACAAGATTTTATAATTAAATTGATAGTATTCATAACAAGAATGAGCAACCTCCCATTTTCAAATAAAAATGTGTTCAAATGGGGTTTTTCTGAAAAATGGAAATTAGTTTTAATCTGTTATAAAACTTGTTTCTTTCAAATAGAGAAAGAATCTCACTTTTCCCTTTATGATTGCAAAAAAAATGCTGGATTAAGGACAGAAAATATTATGAGGTAAGGAGAGCARGAAGTTTGCTCACCTCAAGCATCATTTACTTTCTATTAGTGGAAAATAGTGATATATTTTGCTTAATCAAGACATTACTCCTTYTGGACTTCTCACAGTCCAAATATAATTTCCTTGCAGAAACTGTATTTTGAAATGTTGATGCTATGTGAAGATTGTATCTAGAAGACTATAACCTTATTTTGTTTTTAAGAAATAGAAATATTTTTTCAATTTTTCTAAAAAGCCAAGTACATACATTAGAAAATCATGATCCTGTTGTGGAGCTACCTGCAGAGTACCAATATAAAAGTATCAATAACTTTTTTTAACATGTATGCCTAATATCCTTTTATTGTCTGAGTTTACAATTCAGAACAGCAATAATTCTCTCCATTTCATACTCCTAATTAGTATTGTGCAAATGCATTATTTATGGATATCAATTATTATGCATATCAATGAACAAATTATTTTAGCTTAGACAATTTATGTATCAGCATTGTRAATTAAAACAAGTAACATCTGAGAAAACTACAGAATAAATATGTCAAAATCAACTTAATTGGCAGCTTAATGAATAGCATGGCTTTAATTGGATACTTGCTGGGGAACACATTAGAATAAGCATATATGAACTTTTTTCCTTGTTTCTCATTGAAGGACTTGAGAGTATAAAAGTAATCAAAAGTTCTGTTTCACAGATGACACAGAGAAACTTACAACCACAGGATGCTGGAGAGGCCAAGAGTGTAAACAGTCCTTTATGGGATTGGATAAATTCATGGAAGATACACTCACTGACACTGATCACTGATCTGAAGACAACATCCAACTCCTACATGTAGGTATCCTTACTGTGATAAAGCATGGAAACAGCTAGGCTAGGAAAAGCCTCTATTTTTTTATTTTCTTTCCCATGCTCTCTACCAGAAACACAAAGCTGTGGTAGACTGGCCCTCAATTATGTATTATCACAATTAAGTTTATTTGAAGGATATGTGCCATTTTGATTTATGTACTGCATGCTGGAAGTCATGTGTGACAAAGTACAGTGCAGGGGAGAGRAGAGGAAATTTAGGGGTCTGTTATGAACAGGATGACATGCTGCTTTTGATCAGATTTGATGGAAAGAGGCCAGATGATTTAACAAACAGTCGTCTCTCTTTTCAGGAGACAACTCTAAGATGTGGATCCCAGATAGAAATGGAAGTTGTGGCGAATTGTCAGAACTTCTCCACAGATATAACCATGGACTTGCATTCATGCCTTAGCTTCTCCATCCTGCAGGCTGCCTACAGCAACTGTGTCTTAATTCTCAGGACAGAAACTTGGGCAATTTGTGCTGTGAACTTGGGGGTACCAGAGACAGGATAAATACAGCCAGTATTTTCTACTGGGTAGCTTGAAGCAGCTYATACCAGTGTCTCTCTCAGACATTTTGAAGTACCATGGCTTAAGCACCACTTCTTACCTCAATSATGGCAAAAATTCGAGACTCAGCTAATCCTTTTAGTAAAGCAACAAGCAGGGAAATCCCACTTATTCCAAGGTTCCTGTTTGGTCCAACAGCTATTAATGTTAAGTTTGGTTGATAACCATATGCTACAGGAAGAATGAATCCAAGTATAGCAGAAAAGAAATCATTTCCTTCAGCATCCTTTAACAACAACAAGAAATTGGTTAGCACAATGTAAAGTCCCAAATTCCCACATATAAAACAAAATAGAAATRTGAAGCTCAACAAGCTTTCGACTGACCTAGGAAACAGGATGCTGATCTATTTTCCCAGCAATTTTTATATTAAACATGCAGAATTATTCATCTTTTCCTCAGTGTCGTCGCACTGTAATTCTACCTTGCTGAAGATGAACTGCAGTAACTATGGAAGGTTTCCTCAAACCTATGTATTCTAATACACTAAAGCTCTGTGGAGGAGTAATACTCTGGTGAGGGCAAGAAAAGGAAAAATTTTCAAAGGTCCAAAGTGGAGYGAGGGGTGTAATTCTCAATGTCATTTTATAAATTTCTTAATATATTCTAATATTTTGGTTTAAAAAGCTTTTCTCCTATGCTGTTTCCAGAAAGTGAATCTTACCTCTTTCCAGTTTAGAGAAATATAGTGTTTAYAGCTGGTCTTTCCAGGCTGCTCTTTCTCACAGATGTGTATGATGAGCATTTTTCTGTAAATAAAAACCATACTTGACTATTTAACCAATATTTCCCAATTAAAATTTGGATTAAAAAATGAGATATTTTCTTTCATCATTCTTTAAATACTAATTCATAACACAGGAGGAAATAACTATTTGCATTACTACATTCCAAAATATTAAAAATTAAAACTGAAATCCTTTTTATGGTATTTTTAAAAAGAGGAATAAAGACTTGGAAAATTACTTCTAAGAAAAAGGGGAAGTGGAAATAAGTTGTATGTAGGTAAAGAAGACATTCAATAARGAACTCTGCATCAGCAGGAAGAGCCTCCTGAAGTTATAGGTAACACAGATCCCTTATAATTAATTGCCCACTTAATTACAATTATTTTCAATTTTCAATAAGAATTTAAATTTTAATTAATACAGAAGGATTATATTTTAAATCTACTACTAAATGCATAAAGTAGCATTTAGAGACAATACTTTATCTTTGAAGATGTATTTGGCGATGTTTTGCATTACGTCTCAAGCTAAACTTAATGAATGTCAGCTCATGCCTGATTCCTTAGAGCAGATTTTATCACACATAGGGACACTTATGAACCTTCAAAAAGCCCTTGGGACCCCTTAACCCCCTAATATTAAGAGAGACCTCACCCATCTTCTGTGTGTGGTATGATCTGCATGTCTCCAACAAGTATACAAAGCACTCTGCAGAAAACAAAAATATATACACATTTGCAAGTAATTTTTCTATCAGTTAGCACTATTTGTATAAAAGTTTGCATGTAGATTGGAACCATTAAAAAGAATGTATATTGTTTCTGAATTAGGTCCATTAAAAGTAGAAATAAAACACATTTAGGACAGCTCAAGAGAACCCCATTTCTCTCATCAAATACTGGGGAGGAAAAAAAAAAAAATCAAGAAATTGTCCTTAGGCCAAAACCAATTGAAATCGGATAAAAAACGTGTAGGCTAGCACAGCCACCATCCTTACAAATCTTCGGCCTTTGGAAAGGCAAAAGGTTTCTGTTGACATATACGCTGTTTTCTGGATTACATTTTGGAAGTGCTATGCATATGGACATGCTATTTGTTTTAAAATCAAGGTTTCAGAGGCAATTTGCCATATTTGCCACACTAAGTATCTGATTTTAACATTATGTCAAAGGTCATTAAACACAAAACACACAAATTCACCTTTGAAATCCAAAACGAACAGAGTGTCTTAGAGCAACAGCAGCAGAAAGAGCAGCTGTGGGTGATGCTGCAATTCCATTACACACCTACAAAATACATTTTCCATTCAGAAGAAATTAATGCTGCAAAGATCGTGGCATTTTTAAGTGCAACAACTGTATTTTTGCTTCTTTATATGTATCAAGGGATTTTAATGGATAGGAACAATAAGAAGAGGTTTAAGAATGTATTATTAATTCATTTTCTACAGAAAGGCCGTATTTGATTATTATGTCATAAACTGCACTATTATTTCAAAAATACATATGCTATACTATATTTCTATATATACTATATTTCAAAAACACATGTGCTATACTAAGGCACAACTGTAAAAATAGCTGTTACAGGGGAAGGCCAAGTTTACTGGTTCTCTAGATAGTCTGTAAACTGCAGCAGAAAAATACACCCTATGGAAAAGAGATTGTTCCTAAATATTCTGACTCTTCCTTTAACCTAGGCAAGYTGTTCTTTTTTGGAAAATACAAATGCAGTACTATTCAGTCAACCCTTCAGTGTTCATCTGTGTTGTGTAGTGCTTTGAACGCTACATGAAAGTTAAGCAAAATATGTTTCCTCTCCTCATTACTCTTTGTCAGCACAAAAAGTTAACTTCCATCTGCAACTCATTAAAAGTTCTAGTTATTTTAGCTAGTAACCACTTTTTAAAATCTATTTATAAGTTCTCCTGGAGCTGTGTGCAGTTTATAATGCCAGAGATTTGTCCCCAAGATCTACATATGTGACTTCAAACAGCAAAAAGTCTTAGAAGGAAGAGGCCATTGTGGTAGTTACTCTTCGTTGCAGGCCTGGTATTTTCAAGAGAGCTTTTCACTCAAAGGAGACTTATTATGATGTAATATATTAAACTTTATTACATGTTACATTTATTGCAGTTTTTCTTCTATGCTCCTCCAAGTTTTTACACAAAAATATGAAGATGCACCATCTAAGCCTGCCCTCTCTTAATTCCTGACCCTGCAAGAATCAAAATACTGAAYTAAGAATTACTCCATTCAGAATCACAGCGTACAGTAGAGATGTTGAAAGCACCACTAAAGGGTGAATGTCTGTGTGCATATGTAAGTCAAAATTTGCTCTGTGTAAACTTTGCACGCTGAGACAGGGAAAGTTTTTACATTTCTTCAGATTTCTTGCTGCTGCTCACTGGTGCTTGATACACCAATTTYTGCTCCCCTCAACTGGAAGAGTTAATGTCTGGCTCAATGAGAAAGTCCTTAGGGACTCATTCTGTGACTAYGTACAAGAAGTCTTGACAATGACTTGTCAAAGATCATTAGAAATATGGCTTGGGGTTTACAGCTATCCCTAAATAGTTGTTTTCTCATCTTGCATGCTCACTCTCATGGCTAAACACATTCTAGCTGAGATTAATGGACTTGGGAGATAAACAACAACTAATATCCAGACAAGATATARCAGAAGCAAAAAATCAGAGGAATCCAACTCCACCCTCCCCCCAAGATCAAGGCAATATATTACCTCCTTCTTAAGTATTTTATCTAGGATCGCCAACATACTGCCAAGAGAGGGCAAAGTTTTGTCCTCTTTCACAAGGTCTGCATAAAAGCCACTGTAAAATAAATTATATGAAGAAAAAAGATAGGTTAGAGGCAAAAATGCCTTTGAAGAGGACACTGATAAAGTGCTTTGCAGTTAGTATTAATGGGGTACATTTTATATAGGTGCTAGACACTGATTCTCAGAAACCTAGTTCTAGCAGCAGGATGACAACACTGGTGCCTGACAGTYTTCAGGCTCCCTAAACCTGTCTTCATTCTGCACTGGAAAGAAAACAAATATGGCTGATCATATTCAAGAAACAGGTTTCTGCCAAAATTATATGAAGACAAAACAAAACACTGTGTTTCTCAAATCAGAGCAGTTTGGTATTTTTTCCAGTTAAAAGTGATGACAAAGCTTTAAGACAGCTTCTTAGCAAAAAATTTTTCTAAATTAATACATTTGCATTAGCTGTCCTATCTCAGTTGAAAGAGTTCTGGAGAAAAGTATTCTGATTAATTCTTTAAAGGATTTCAGGCTATGAACTATTATGACAAAAATGTCTTTAATTTTCAAAGGAAGAAATTCTGACTGTAATTGAGTAGACCAAGGCCAAAAMGATGATCATGGCAGATCCAGAGCCAGATGACAGAGACCTGTACAGAGACCTCTCATGATCTTCATTATGTTGAAAATTAAATAAATAGCACCAACCTGACAAGAGCTTTTATTTCAGTTTTATCCATTTCCTTCACCAAATGAAGATGCACAGGGAGATGTTCTGAACCTTTAGAGTCTGTTGTTGCTGTTTTGATGGGAGGCACTGGAAATAGAATACTTTTCATGTGCAATTCCAAAAACCTTTCTACTCTGACAGTTTTGTCGTTGTTAGTTATCTTAGGTTCATGCTCTGTGGAGGGATTTRAATTAGCCTTCTTTAGTAAGTGTGATTTGGTGCTCAAATTTTGTAAAAATGATGTATCTAGAGAAAAAGAGGGATTTCACAGGTATTAGTTTCTAAGCAATGTGTCAATATTTGGACATATTTATTTATAAAATAGAATACATCTGGATTCGTAGTACGTATATTTACTCCCATGCACTAACTACAGTGTTTCCTCACACATTATTTTTTTTCAGTGCTACTACATTTGTTCTAATCTAGTGAAAGGTCATRTATTGTAATAAAGCTTAAGTCCATGTTTTTGGCACAGAAAACAGCATCCTCAAACAAAGATATCAAAGTGCTACTTTTTAGCATGAAGTTTGCCAGCTTCAGAAAGTTCTTTTCAGACCAGCTGAAGACATGACCTTGAATGAAGCCTCACACTGCTTCATCAGTCACTTGATGAATAACTGCTTGTTCAMTTAGTTTAATCCATTGGTAGTAATTTTAATAATTTTCAATTTCTGTATAAATCCATTTATCAATAACATTTGCTTTTGTAAAGAGAAACTACCTTCATACGTCAACCATTTCCAGTAGGGTTTATGTGCTGCTCTCACATTTTGAATAGATTCAACAGCACTGCAAAAGAAAMCAGATTAACAGTAT